GCGCCCCCCCCTCCCTCTCCCCTGGCCTCTCCCAGCCAGACCCTCACTGGATATTTGCTTGCTTCTCCACTGGTCTGTGTTATTGTTATTTCATTCTTGCTGCCAGGCTGTCTGGGATGATGGATTTTCAGCTGCAGAGTCACACGCTGATCTTGTGGGTCCCCCCATGCAGCTGTGTCCATTGGAACATGTGTCCCAGATTTCACAGCATATGTGAAGTTCTGGTCAATGCAGTATGTGGGGCTGGTTTATGAGCTGACTCTTACTTACAGAAATACCATCATGAGGAGAATTGGCGACCTCCCTGAGGTGTCCTCCAAGCTGTGAGCTTCTCTCCAGGATTCCAGCCTGTCCCATAGCACCCTTTCGTTATCTGAAAACCCCATGGAGAAGCACAGGGAATCTACAATGGAGGAAATGCTATTGGGTTGGTGAAATGAGCCACATCTGTCCTTGGCTAGAAGTGGGGGGCTGAGACCTTCAGAAAGGGTGAGACATATAGTGGTCTGTGGTGGATCCCTCTGCTCTCAGAAGTACCTTGTGGCTTTTCAGGATAACACAGGAGTGCAATCACTCTCCATCTCAGAACAGTGCAAGCCCAGCCAGCTGGGAAGAAGATGGAGGGTCAGACCAGCTCCCCTCACTCTGCACTAAGCCACAGGCAATCCTCTTTTCTCACAAGACTTGCTTGGTTCTCCCTGAGTGCAGCAGAAATGCTGAGGGATTCTGATGCCCAGCAACACTCCCAAGGGGAGATGAGCTGTAAAAAACACCCCAACTTCTCAAACGTCAATCCACCCTCCTAGTTCCTTAGCACTGGGGGTACAGACGCTGACAGGCCCTTCTGCATTAGGAGAGGTTTCATCTGACAAAGTTGAAGACCAGGACTGGCCCCTGCCCTCGCTGTTCCCATGAGCCCACTGCTGCAGAGCAGGGCTGACTCTTTGGCATCCAGGAGGCAGAGGACCTACACCTCATGGCACACTCAGCCAGCACTGACCAGGGATCTAGCCTTGGAGATGAGGAAGGTCTTCTTAGAAAAAGTAAAGAGGGTGTGTGTAGAGGGGAGAGGGTGTATGAGAAATTACTTTGATTTTCCTCTGCCTAATTTGTCACTGTCTTTTCCTCCTTGGACAGTGCCCCATTCCCAGAGGACGAAAATGTCCAACAGCAGCTCCATCACCCAGTTTCTCCTCCTGGCATTTACAGACACGCGGGAGCTGCAGCTCTTGCACTTCTGGCTCTTCCTGGGCATCTACCTGGCTGCCCTCCTGGGCAACGGCCTCATCATCACCGCCATAGCCTGTGACCACCACCTCCCCACCCCCATGTACTTCTTCCTCTTCAACCTCTCCCTCCTCGACCTGGGCTCCATCTCCACCACTCTCCCCAAAGCCATGGCCAATTCCCTCTGGGACACCAGGGCCATCCTTTACGCGGGATGTGTTGCCCAGGTCTTCTTTATATTCTTCTTGTTTGGTGCAGAATATTCCTTTCTCACCATCATGGCCTATGACCGCTACGTTGCCATCTGCAAGCCCCTGCACTATGGGACCCTCCTGGGCAGCAGAGCTTGTGCCCACATGGCAGCAGCTGCCTGGGGCAGTGCTTTCCTCTATGCTCTCCTGCACACGGCCAATACATTTTCACTACCCCTCTGCCAAGGCAATGCTGTGGACCAGTTCTTCTGTGAAATCCCCCAGATCCTCAAGCTCTCCTGCTCAGACTCCTACCTCAGGGAAGTTGAGCTTCTTGTGGTCAGTGGTTTTGGTTTTTTGGGATGTTTTTTTTTCATCATGGTGTCCTATGTGCAGATCTTCAGGGCCGTGTTGAGCATCCCCCTTGAGCAGGGACGGCACAGAGCCTTTTCCATGTGCCTCCCTCACCTGGTTGTGGTCTCCCTGTTTGTCAGCACTGGCATGTTTGCCTATCTGAAGCCCCCCTACATCTCCTACCCGTTGCTGGATCTGGTGGTGGCTGTTTTGTATTCAGTGCTGCCTCCAGCAGTGAACCCCCTCATCTACAGCATGAGGAACCAGGAGCTCAAGGATGCACTGAAGAAGTTGATGCAATCAGCTGTCTCTTGGCAGCCTTAAGCTGCTTGTGTCCTATCAGAAGGGATTCCCAGTTCATTTCTGGAACCTCCTGTGTTTTGGGCATTTTATCTGTGATAATCCTGTTTGCCCAGGAATGTCTACAGTCACTTCACTTCCCCAGATGCATGAACCAATGGTGTCTGAGCCAGAGGTCTTTGTACATTTTTATGGCATGACAATACAGATGTCCTCTGATGTTGCATATCTGTAATAAAATGGATTTCTTCAGTGCTGATGTCTGGAGGCTGGGCTCTTCTTCCAAAGCAGAGGTCAGGAGCAGGGTGAAGAAATAGCCCCTGTGAGAATGCTGCTGGGCTGGGGTTCTCCCTGGGCTCAGGGCAGGAGGGCATGGGGCAATGTGTTAGGGACCAGGTCTAGGCTGAGCCTTCACGTGTGGGTGCCCAGTGGCAATAGACATTGTGAATGATCCACAGGGATCTGCCTGGGACTGTCTCCCTCTGGCTTTTGGGCACCACTGCCTGGCAGAACAGGACTGCCAGCTCGGGGCCATGCATGAGATGACATCCCTGAAGAAGAGCAGACCTATTTCTTCACACACTAGTTCGGGCAGGCTGTTCTGTCACTGATGCAGCAGGAGCTTCCTAGGAAGCCCCCAGGTCATGAGTCTTGTGCTCGGGAGAAACACTGGCACAGAGGGGCTGCTAGAATTGGGCAATAAGAATCTTTCTGAGACAAGAGCAGCAGACACAGGGAGATGCTGGCCTCCATCTCCTCATGCTCTGGGGCTGATGGGGAGGCTCATACCACCACTCTGCTCCCAGAAGCTGCTGTGTCCTTCGGAGGGGCTGTGGGGTGAGACCCCACAGTTGGCAGTTCCATGAGGCCAGGTTGAGCTGCTGTGTGTGCTGGGCTAGCGAGGGGCAGTGGAGGTGGGGACACCTAAGGAGGGTCTAGTCTGGGCTGGAAAGTTCCTGGGAGGGAAAAACACTAGTGTAGAGCTTGCGGGGTGAACATTCACGTGGCGGGGGGTGGGGGTGGTGCAGAAGAAGAGCTTGTGAAAGGGATCAAAGACTTGCGAGTGCAGGAGCGAGAATGCTGGTCTGTCCTCTCGGTAGCATGGACAGACTGGGAAGGTGGCCCAGGACCTTCATCACACCCCAGCCTCTCTCACCAGCCATTTCCAGCACTGGCTGCTCAGCCCAGGTTTATGGGTAAGTCTTGCTGCAAAGCCAGCTCCATCCTCCTGCTGCCCTCAGTGCTAGTATCAGGGGAACAGCCTGTCAGAAGTGTGAAGTACAAAGAGTATCAAGGAGTGGCAGAGGAGCGGTGGGCATTTGGCACACATGAGATGGTCAGCCTCCATCCACAGTCACTGAGTATAAGGAGAGAAGACTGAGGTAACTGTTGGGGCTGAGGATGTGTAAGGCAAGGATGAGGATCCAGAAGTGCGTGTACTCTCAAACAAACAGCAAGCAGGGAGAAAAATGCTTAAGTTGAGAACAAGAAGTGCTCACCAACATGCTCCCGTTTCATTTGCTTTCCTCTTTAACATCAGGGCAGAGTGTAACAAACAGTGAAGTATGTTTTGGGGTCTCTTGAGAAGTTCAAATTGAGGAGGCCCACACAGTAAACACACCCAAAGGACTCAGGCCCCAACAATACCAGCATCAACGCCAGTCTTTGTGGCTGTGCCTCCCCCTCCCTTGTATCCTCCACCACCCCATGTACTTCCTCTTCCACTGGCGGTACCACCACCACGGGTTCCTCCTCAGTTTCCACCTGGTCAGCCTCCATCTGTTGGGTACGCTATTCCCCTTTCCAGGATATCGCCCAGCTCCTGCAAACATGTCACCAGCTTGTGTACCTACAGCAGTACCAAGGGCTCATTCAAACCCCGTCCCAATGACACAAGCACCTCCTTTATAGAATCACAGAATCATTTAGGTTTGAAAAGACCTTTAAGATCATCGAGTCCAACTGTAAGCCTAACACTGCCAAGCCCACCACCAAACCAGGTCCCTAAGCACCACATCTACACATCTTTTAAATACCTCCAGGGGAGGGGACTCAACCACTTCCCTGGGCAGCCCCTTCAGTGCTTGACAACCCTTAGCAGTGATGAGTTTCATATATAGGTTACCAGCTCAAATATGGCAGAGATTACAGTGGACTGGTAGCTACAATTTGGCAGAAGTTGTTAAGGAACAGGCGTCTCTTTTGACATCTTTCACCTCCTGACAGCTGCCAGAGGCTTGAAACAGACTAGGTGTAGTTGCTGGATTTGTTGCATCTCCCTATACTGATGGTAGCCATTACCTCAAAACACTTTGCAGGAGATATGTGAGAGAAATTGTCTTAATTTCCTCTTTTCTTTATCTCCTGTGGATACATGGAGAGATTTTAACCTGCAAACTGGTGGCTTTTGCTATTATTTTCTTGACATTGTTGAATTTTTCTTAGGAATTCAAAGGTCAGACATGTTTGTAAGGAAATCTTAAATTGGTGAAGGCCTTTGAGAGGAGGGATGATGCTAATGGACATATGTGGAATAATGTGAAATGATTCTTTAAAAAACAGTGAAAGACAAATTTGTGAAGAAAAAACTCAGGGTAGCTGATGTTTTCTATCCTCCCAAATAACTTGGGCAGCACTCTGAATAGCTCTCTATTGGTGATGCTGCCTGTATCTTCCTAGAGTAATGGCACTGGGTCAGAGGCTGAGCTTAGAAGCTTTTAGATATGATTTTTCTTGAAATGCAGTAACTCTCCTTGGTTAGAGCGAGAGGTATGTGCCAAATTCATCTGGCTAGAAGTGCTCATTCTATAGTCCCGTGTGTAGGATTGCAGCCCAGTCCTGTACAAATTGCCAACTATGTACTGGACTTAAACAGCCTAAGCTGGCATTTTCAAACTGAGCTTTACTGTCCAGGCAAAATCATGTTTTCTTGGTTTGATACTGCACTGTAGTCATTAAGACATGCTCTTTTTGCATCTTACTGCATGTCCTGGTTTCAGCTGGCCTTTACTCATCACAGAATCACAGAATGGCAAGGGTTGGAAGGGACCTCGGGAGATCATCCAGTCCAACCCTCCTGCTAAAGCAGGGTCACCTAGAGCTTGTTGCACAGGACATCATCCAGGCAGGTTTTGAATATCTCCAGAGGAGACTCCACAACACCCCTGGGCAGCCTGTTCCAGTGCTCTGTCACCCTCATGCCCTGGTTTCAACTGGGACGGAGTTAATTTTCTTCCTAGAAGCTGGCACAGTGATGTGTTTTGCATTTAGTACTAGAAGAATGTTGATAGCACCCTGATGGTTCTGTTGTTGCTGAGCAGGGCTTGCACCAGTCAAGGCTTTTTCAGCTTCCCCTGCTCTTCCAGAGGCACAAGAAGCTGGGAGGGGACTCAGCCAAGACAGCTGACCCTAACTGGCCAAAGGGCTATTCCAGACCACATGATGTCATGCTCAGTACAGAAACTGGGGGGAGTTGGCCACGGACAGCGATCGCTGCTCAAGGACTGGTGGGGCATTGGTCAGCGGGTGGTGAGCAGTTGCATCACTTGTTTTTTCATGGGTTTTATTTCTCTCTCTCTTGTTGTTTTCCTTTTCATTACAATATTATTATCATCATTATCATTATCATTTTATTATTATTATTTTTTTACTTTATTTCTGTTATTAAACTGTTCTTATCTCAACCCAGGACTACTCTTACTTTTGCTCTTCTGATTCTCTCCCCCATCCCACTGGAGCAGGGAGGGTGAGCAAGGGTCTATGTGGTGCTTAGTCACAGGCTGCAGCTAAACCACAACACATGTAAACCTGGCACCCAGAGACAGGACCCCTTGTGTGGAAAGGCTTTTCTTGCCAGCAGAGGCATGCTGGAGTGGATGGTGGCAACATCATGATGAATGAGGTTTCCACAATGAGACCAGAAGCTGCCACGGCCAGAGAGAAACAGGCCTGGGCTGTTCAGCTCTGGCAGGAGAGGGCTTTGCTCTCCCAGGTGACTCTGCAGCACTGTGGGACCTCTGAGAGAGGTGAAGCTGATCTCCCAGAAAGGACAAGGTTCTGGTGAGACTGTCCCTGGGGGAGGACAGCCTGTGATCCAGCCACATTATGGCCATCATGTTGGGGGCCAACTGGCCAGACAGCAGCTCTGCAGAGAAGGACCTTGGCATCCCAGAGGATAAGCAGCTGAGCACGAGCCAACAATGTGCCTTTGTGGCAAAGGCCAACATCCTCCTGGGCTGAATTAGAAAAAGCATTGCCAGCAGATGGAGGGAGCTGACACTTACCCTCTTCTCGGTACTGGTGAGGCCAGTACAGGGAAATTGTTAACCTATTAAAGCAAGTCCAGCAAAGAGCCACAAAACTGATTTAGAGGACTGGAGCCTCTTTCATAGGAGGAAAGACTGAGAGATGTGGGACTGTTCAGTTTGGAGAAGAAAAAGCTTGGAGGCATCTTATTAATATATACAAAATTCTGTCTGAAACCAAGAAAATACTTTTTATCTGTTGGGGTGGTCAATCACTGGAAAAGATAGCCTAGAGAGGTTGTGGAGTGTCCATCCAATGGAGATATTCCAAATCCACCTAGACAAGGTCCTGAGTAACCTAGCTCTACCCCCCTTCCTCAGCTGGGGGGCTAAATTAGATGATTTCTGGAGGTCCCTTCCAATCTCAACATTTCTGTGATTCTGTGAGTATAAAGGAGATAAGTAAGACAGAGAAATGAATAACACATAGCCTTGACCACAAATATGGTAGGATCTCAAGTAGACGACCCAAGCTGGAGCTGGGGAGAAGTGTGAGGAGGAAGGAGCAGCAGACATGTTCTTTACTGACTGTTAACCCCGTCTTCACCTTCCCCCCTACTCCCTGGGGTGGGGGTGGGTAGATGGGTTGGGGACAATTTGATCCTGCAAGGAAGTGTGAAAAGAATGGTCTTTGATATTTTAGTTATTTTTTCTTCACAACCCAAATCTTTTTTAATGGGCAATAAATTACATTAATCTTCCCCAAGTCAACAGGTCTTT